TGGTGGAGCCCAGGGCTTGCGGCCTCGGGGACAGAGGACCGCCCGCGCCCGGCGCCGTCTGCGATGGCACCTGCTTCCCAACAAGGCACATTCCTGGTGACCCAGCAAGATGTTCATGCATCCTAATGACCTAGAAACTTAATTTGAGGATGAGATAGGATCACTTAAACGTAACCTATTCAACTGGGCTTCAAATTCTTTTGTGCAGCGGAGCTGAACTACACGGGCCAGCGGGAGGAGGTCTCCCCGGCCAGGCCCCTCTGGCGGGGACCCACTGTCCAGGGCCTCCGGGTTTTGCGGGCCGCCCTGGCTGGGACCAGTCCGTGGGGGCCGGGCAGCTGCCTGTCGGCGTCTCTCCCCTGGCGGGGGCTCGGCCCCGCGGTGTGGGCTGCCGGACTCAGGAGCTCCTGCACACCCACCTGCCTCCTGGCCACCAAAGGCACCTCGTGGGTCACTCCCGATCTCTGACCTTGGGCTCTCCCTGGAGTCATTTTAAACAGCCCCCCACACCCCTCAGTGTCTCCCTCTTGATTTTTCCTTGGGAGGGTGAGCACCCCAGCCTACATGGGGGCAGTATGACCTTTGCTTGGGGTTCTCCAAGCAGAGACAAACACACAGCCTGTGGAACCTTTTCCCCTGGGGTCCCCAAAACAACAGCTCCCCACTGGCAGTTTAGTGACACCCCTCTCCTTCCCACTCACACAGCCAGCACAGGCCACGAAGGCAAAGCTGCCCCCCACCCTCCAGCAGCGAGCCCCTGCCCCCGCCCCCCTGTGACGGGGGTCCAGCAGCTCACACGCAGGTGGTGTGGGGGCCCCACCCCCTACTCGGCTCCCCTTGTCTGACCCTGGGTGCTGAGACTCCAAAGAAAACCTCTGCTACTGACCCTGTGGGCACTGGAAACGCTGCTGTGGGTGGGGCACCCACACCCTGAGTGAGCCACCCCAGAGCCCATGGGGAGCGTGGGTGTGGGGTGCACCCGGAGCTCCCGGATGCGAGCCCCCAGACGCTCCTGTCCCGGAACCTTCCCAGGGCTCCGTGTGGCCCGGGGCCGGTCCCCGGCCGGCCGCTCGGGCCAAGCGCAGGTTCTGCAGGAGGATCCCCTTGGCCAGCGGGTCCTGAGCCCGCCAGCTCCCCCCTGGCTGCGCCGGGCGCCCTGAGGCTCCTGCGGCCGCCTGAGCCTGCCCACAGGCCCGGCGGGAGGCGCTCTCGGGGACACCTGGGCGCGGCACCCCACCCGAGGCTGTCAGGGCGCAGAGCAGGCAGTGCGCCAGAGCCGGGGGCCAGCTGGCTCCCTCCAAGCCTCCTGCGCCCGAGAACAATCCAAGTCTCTCCCTGGCCAGCCGCAACCAGGCCAGGACCAGCGCTGGCCGGAGCTACAGTCTGACCCCAGAGAGGCCGAGTCTGGAGCCGCGGCCGGGAGCCCTGGGCTTTGGGGCTGGGCTGACGGGGGGGCCCGAGGCTTGCTGTGACCTGTTTGCCCAACGTGGCCTGGAACCAGGGAGAGAGGGGCAATGTCCGCCCAGGAAGCCCAGACTGAGCCGCCCAGCAGTGAGATGGACGGGCCGGCCCGACCAGGCTGCAGCGGCCACACCTCATCGCTCACGGCCCCCGCCCGGGCTCCACGTCGCGTGGGCCCCGCGGCTCCGTGGGCCGGTGCCCCCGCAGGACACCCGCCCGGTCGCCACGCCAACGGCACTCGTCATTCAAGCACATCTCACGTCGCCGCCGTGACTCTCCGCTTCTCCTTCTGAAAAATGGCTGAAGGGAAAATGCCAACCTACCTAGGAAATGATTTAATCAGTTTAGTTCCGGAAATAACTATGGAAATTCAGATTTTTCCATTCTGCTGCTCCCACACATTGTGGTGGGACAGCGGCCGCAGCCCCTCCCCCGCCGGAGAAAAGCCTGGGCCTGCTGTGGGGCCCAGTCCATCAGCATATGAAAAGCCGGAGAAAAAGCAAAGCTTTTGAAAGTAAGAAAAACCCCAGAATTGTCCATCACTCTTCATGTCCCAGGGACGCCACAGCCCCCTTGGCGAGAGGCGAGCCCTCAGCCCGGGCAGCTCGGAGCCCGACTCCCAGGGTGCTGGACCGGGGTCACGTGGACACTGGCCTTCTGCACGGCCAGCTGGAGGCAGACCCATCTGGACACTTCACACACCGGGCGGCCGAGCCAGCGGCACCCGCAGTGTGGCCGGGGCCAGGGCAGGAGTGGGGGTGCGGGGCCTTGTGCCCTGGTCCACTCGTCCAGCGTCTCTGTGGCCTTGAGGAGCAGCTTGAGTCCTGCGAGGACCCCTTCGTGGAAGTGGACAGGTGACCACAGAGTGAGAAATGCAGGTTTTGCGAGAGAATGTTGCTCGCGTGTGGTGTCCAGCTTCCGGGGAGCAGGGGACCTGCCCTGCAGGAGTCCGGTCGCCCCGACCCAGAGTGCGCCTGAGCCTCCCGGCAGGAGCTGGGGGCCCGCACACCCGCCTACGTCAGGTGGCAGAGGCGCCTCGGTGGCGGGTGGTGCCAGGGCTCCCGCCCCTTCACTCAGCCCACCTGAGGCGGGCCAGGCCGGGGTGGGAGGGGCGGGGCGGCGGGAGGCCTGCAGCAGCCCGTGGTGGCAGAGGCATCCAGAGCTGAGGCCTGAAAGCCGGAGCTGCAGGCGGGGCCCCCGGGAGCTGCCCGGCCGCCCGCCACGCCTCGCACTCAGCCTCCAGTGCAGACCCACCCGTGGCCCGGGCCGGCCCCGGTCAGCGTCTGGGACCGGCCGAGCCCGCAGAGGCAGAAACTCCACATTCGTCATAAAAACGGACCACACCCCGAGCTGCGGCCTCCTGGGGCGACCCCAGAAACAGCTGGCTCAGATGTCAAATTTCTAGCTGACAGGTCAGAGAACTGGACACGGGCGGCCTGGGGTCCTTCCAGGGGACAGGCCTTACCCTCCGCCCAGAGGACCGTGCAGCCAGCATTTCAGCGGCGTCACGCTGCCCTCGCGACAGGGCCCAGGCACACACAGGCGTCGCCGGCCCTGAGCCAAACGGAGTTAACGCAGTGAACACTGACTCACTGGCCACGCTGCGGCAGCCGGCCGGTGGCCTGAGCCGCCCGCGCCCTTAGGAGCAGCTGGGCGGCCCCGGGCAGGCC